ACAACATCGGGGACAGGATGGCACCCTGAGGGACTCCACAATTAAGCTATAATTCTATGATGCTATGATTCTAGTAACATAGGTCCAAAACACAGTACTGAAATAATCCATTAACTGCCCTGGCTCAGTATTAGGGAATCCAGGGAATTAGAGCTTTCTGACAGAGAAAGCTAAATGTTTCACAAAACCAACGTTCCCAGAATTCTCTAGCATTGAGCCATTGAGCCAGGACTGTTAAAGTGGTCTCAAACTAGATTATTTCTGCAGTGCGTTTTGGACAATAACATTTCGAGAGGCTTGCAGTCTCGTATTGTTTGAAGGTGAAAGGACTCTGCTTTATTTAATTACATTGTGAATGGATTGCAGTCCTGCTACCTTTTTAAGGTAGTGAATTAAAGGATATTTAAGGGGAGATTTAAGGACAGAAAGAGACCATAATGACAAAAGTAATGATGAATTTGAGTTTGAGGGGAGGAGAAAAGAGTATTATGGCCAGCTGTGCTAGGCCTTGGTGTCTCACTCCACCAGTTTACTAGAAAGATTTGGAATAGCATATTGATGAAAATCTTGTTTAAAAAGCTGTATTAAATGTATTAGCAATTAGAATAACAAACAGACAAAACACCCCGCCCCCAGAGGAAATGCAGTGTCAGATAACAACTATCAAGATATTTGTTGTAGATTATACCATGGAGAAATCTCAAGAATCTTGAGGTTGATTCTCATTGATGGAGTGAAGATTTGAAAAATCTGCTGGTTTTTTGTTCCTAAAATGAGAGGTGTCAAGATGTAGTGTGTCCTTCCAAAAGCCTGCTTGTAGTGAGTGAGGTCTCTGATACTTTAAATTGTTATTTACATTGTCAATAAAGACAAACCAGTAAACACATTGTTATTTATATGTGGAAGCATTCATAGTATATGAGAGTTTTTCTCAGTATATGAGAAAATTATTCCCCATCCTTTTCAACCAGCTTTCTATAGTGAGGTTCCCTGGTTTCCAGCACTTATCTATTTCTGTTCAAGCTGCCGCTAAAAGAAAAAGCAATAAGCTTCCTATGTGTAAATGAGCATTTCTTTTGCTGTAAACAAAGTAATAGAAGGCTAGGGCAAAATCTCATGGTTTGGTTTGTGATAGGTAAAATCTGATTTAATATTAGTTCCCCCCAAATTTTTATTTGGAAATGACTTGAAAGCATATGATCATCACCACAACAAATCCACGTATGAATATAAGAGCCCAGGACATTGCAACCTCTTTGCAATGTCTTTTTTCATGGGTGTCAAATACCATTTGTGAATAATCTTAAGGGCACATTCCTTAGCAAGATTGATTGGGAATTAAGAGGTAGTAAAGCCCAAATGTGAGATGAATCAGTTTCTGAGCTTGCAGTCCTTAAATCGGATTGCCACCCTGTTTCCTGTAATCTACAAGCCTGTCCATTTTCATGAACATGTTCACTAACCACTTATATAAGTGCTGCTTGTCTTTTCTGTGGACAGGAAAAAAATGGAACGTGGAGATTTACCCAGAGAGGAAGGGAAGATGTAAATGAGACTACTTGGTATTAGTTGTTGATATTGTTGTGTGCCTTCAAGTTGTTTCTGACTTGTGGTAACATTAAAGCAAACCTATCATGAGGTTTTCTTGGCAGAATTAGTTTAGAGTAGGTTTATCGTTGCCTTCCCCTGAGGCTGAGAGAGTGTGATTTTCTGAAGGTCACCCAGTCATTTCTGTGGCTCAGCTGGGAATTGAGCCCTGGTGTCTAGAGTCATAGTCCAACACTCAAACCACTATGCCACCCTGGCTCTCAGGGTATACAGTATGTTATACCAATTTGTCTTAATGTCTCAGTTGTTCAGAGAAGTCTTCCATAGTTTTCTTTTTTTGAAAAGCTCAAAAATTATAAGGACCCCAGCATGTTTCTTTGCTTCAAATTGTGTAGATTTATCTGGCACTTGAAATTGGGGGACGTGAAAAGAAAAATTTAATCACAGAAGATTCACGAACAAGTATATTCTGCCATTGTTTAACAGATCATCAGTGAGTTTCACTGAAATGGATTTCATATTGTTTTGAATGAGTTCTTCGTAAATTTCATCAAGGAAGCATATTTTATTTCTGAATTGACCTATTCAGAAGCATGATCATGTTTAATAATTTGGGTTAGTTGATGCACTTGACAGGTGTTACAATAGAATTTAATCAGGTATTGCCAATCCATTTTTAGAGATGACATGTTTAGTAGATTTTCTAAATCTAGGTCTCTCCTTATTGAAAATAAATCTGTCAATTATTGAGTGCCAGCTGTTAAATTTAGAAGGGAAGGGGGTTAAGGAGATTGAAACAGAAAGAAGAGTCAAGAAATTAGGAACATTTTTATAAGGGCTATTCTACATAATAAGGAAAATTTGCCATATTTGAACTTTGATTTTTGTCCACTTTGTTAGTAGGTTATAAGTTCAAGGAATCAGTTGTGGTATATCCTTTGTAATTATGATACCTAAATAAAAGTCTGAAGGCTGCATTTGAAAGCCACTTGACTGTTGCTAGTGTTTTTGTGCTTGAAGAGCAACATTTGAGTACATAATTATAAACTTCAAACAATTAACTTGAGGCCGGTGTAAATACTAAAGATGTTTAGGACTTTTATTTCAATTCAGGAAAAGATTCTTCAGGATTTTCTTTTCCCCCTTTTTTACGTTTTTTCATTCTTTTAGAAATTTGTCTATTTTTCTCTCTTCCACACCTGCCACCCATTTTAACCACCTTTATGATCTGGAATTGACTTAGTATTTTTGCATTTTTCTCCCCTTCCTTCACTTTCCTGATTATCCTGTTATTCCTACCACCTTCTCTTAACCTTTTCTTGCCTACCTCTTTTCTCACCCTTTCTCTACTCCTTTCACCTATTCCCCCTAATTGCTTTCAATAACCTTACTCAATACTCTTCTTTTTTCTCTCTCTCTGTCCCTCTTACTACATCACTTACTCCAGCCTTCCTCGACTTCCTTAACTATCTACCTCTTCCCTCCTAACACCCAATTTCAAGCTCTTGTATATTAACCAAACCAAACCTGTTCTCTCTCTGTAATTCTGTTTCCTTCCTCAGCATCTTTCATCACCTTTCCTTTTTCACTCACAAACCACAAGGTTTGTGAGCCAGGGGCTCAAGGTCAACTAATAACAACTAAAAAGTAGTTTATATAATTCTCCTGAGTAGCCATTGGGGCTGGGGATATGCTTGGCTTCAATTTGTTAATAGTTTGCTTAATTTTATTCATAGCTATGGGTCTATTTACAAAAGAAGAATGTGAATCTGAAATTTCATATTTAAAAAAAAAAATAACAAATTCAGCTATATTTAAATAAATTGGGGTCTCAGACAAATACAGTTTGGAGTAAAATTCATTAATCATCTCATTGGGACTGCATTTGCACTATAGAAATAATCCAGGTTGACACCACTTTAACTGCCATGGCTCAATGTTATGAAATGGTGGGAATTGTGGTTTTGTGAGATACTTAGCCCCCTCATATGTGTCCAACCATAATTTCTCCTGTTACTACTTCCTTTAAAGTTTGTAGAAATGATTGCATAAACTTATCTTATCAGTGTTTAAGGAGTAGAAAATGTCCAGTATGATTGCTTTGCCTGCCAGAAACCCTTGCAATATGAGAAATCTGCCCTCCAGGTCCCTTTCCACTATCACACTAAAACTATACAGATGGCAAGTAAGAATGTTTATGGCCTAATAACTTTTGTGGTTTAATTTGCAATGTTGGTGTAGTGGTTTCAGTGTTGGACTATGACTCTGAAGACCAGAGTTCGAATGAATCTCTGCTTGGCCATGGAAACCCACTGTGTGACCTTGGCAAATCACATTCTTTTACCCTCAGAATAAGGCAGAGGCAATCTCTCTGAACAAATCTCACTGTAAGTCGAAAACAACTTGAGGGCACACAACAAACAACAACGTAATCATATTAAGAAGTGAACATAGCAGGTAAATGAGAAATTCTCTGTAATGTCTGGAAACACATAGCTTATTGAAGAGGAGAATAATATAGATCATTGGTAAGATGACTTGGAACAATCTGACTATATCACAGACAGGATATAGAGTAACTTTAGCCATGATTGAAATTGATGACTACTATTGGGTGGGGAGTATGATGGATAAAAATAGGCTCAGAAATAAGATTTGGCCTGTAGATCACTAATTGTTTCACCTGATCTATGGGTTTCTGCATATTTGCTAAATAAAAAGGCACTGAACTGGTTTCATTGGACAGCCATTTCTAACTTAATACTATCTATCAGTCTGCTACCATGGCTAATGGTCAGGAATCCCAGGAATAATAGTACAAAAGATCTGGAGGGCAGCAAGTTGATAATAGGATTTCATTTGTGTGGAAGCAGTGTAGTAGGTAGCGATGCTGCAATTTCTTGGCCTGCTTTTCTATCTTTGGGTTTCCTTTGTGCAGACAGCAAGCATATTGCCAGCCATCCTATCTTTGTGTACCAGGAGAAAACAAAGGCCAGTTTTGCTGTAGTTTGCTTTCACAATTCTACATCTCCTGCGAACTAAGGCACAGCTGATATGTTTAATTTTAGGTTTTCTCTCAAGCTTTTGGACGATTTTGAGTGATTCCTAGAAAACATAGCTGTATGCAGAGCTGTGGGAGTTGTTTCAGTGATGGTGTTAAATTCTCTAGTTGCCAGTCTGTATTGGAGAAGGAGTGTTCTACTGAGTTGTAGCTTCCACTGAGAAACAGATAGGGGTTGCAGACTACCATAAATAGTGCAAATTGAGTCCACTTTTAGGGTTAGGGTTAGTGCTAGGGAATCATGGGAATTGTTTTTTTCTGAGACATTGAGCCTTCTCTGTCAGAGAGCTCTACTGCCACAATAAAATACAGTTCCCATGACTCCCTAAGCCTAACCCTAACCCTAAAAGTGGACTCAATTTGCACTATTTCTGGCAGTCTGCAACCCCCCAGACTCTTCTTAATTGTGTGCTGTTGCCACAGTTTTTGGTACATGGGTGGGGCTTTCTGTTCATTTTTTGTTTCTTTACCATGCTAAAGGAATAAAATCTTATAAAGATTTGTTTATTTGTTTTTACAGTTGCCTATTTTAGTATTATTAATGTTGCCTGTTTCAAATCTTTCATCTACCCAGATATTTATTTAGAATTTGTATATGAGAAAAGGGGCTATTCAAAAAGATGAACCTTGATAGGAGTGGTACTTTTGACACACAGAACTGGTTAAACAGAGATTAAGAAGATCTGATAGCTTGATGTATCTCATCTAACCTCTACTCAAAGCTTTGGTCATTTTCTTTCTGGATGCACAGAGACTACCATGATCACTCAGATATATGTCTTTCTTTGGGAGAAAGATAGGGGATTGCTATCCTGTAGATTTTCCTTGACCTCTTGAGGACTTTCATCACTATTGACTATGGTATCCTTCTGGAATACTAAAGTTAGGATTGTCTATGCCATCATATTTCCAGTTTCTATGCATGGTTGTGAAAGTTGGGCAGTGGAGAAAGCTATTAGGAAGAAAATAAACTTATTTAAAAAGTATTGCTGAGTTACTATGGATACTGTAGACGGCTAAAAAGACAAATAATGGATCCTAGAGCAAATGAACTTTCCCTAGAAGAAAAAGTGACTAAACTGAGACTGTCATACTTTGGCCATATCATGAGAACATGACTCACTGGAAAACACAATAATGCATGGTAAGGTAGAAGGCAGTAGGAAAAGAGGAAGAGCACACTACAGATGGATAGACTCAATAAAGGAACTGATGGCTCTGATTCTGCAAGACCTGAGCAGGGCTGTTGATGACAGGGTAATTTGGATGTCTCTTATTCAACTATTTAAGTTGAAGTCGCTTTGTTGGCAGTTAACAATAAGAAATCCTCTTGGTATAGCTCAAAGTTGTTAAGCTTCTGCCTACAAAGTTGCTGCCAGAGACTAGTATTTGGAAATTTGTTTATTTATTGTAGTATTTTCAGAAATCTCTCAGCTTCATAACAGTTGTGCTTTGGGATCCACAAGTCATCATCCAGTCCCCCATGCTATTCAACATCAATATATCACTGCAAGATGTGCCATCTGATGTTGTGGAGTACAGTTTGTCTAGACTGCAGATGACACTCAGTTCTGTTTGCCCATTCCATCTGAATGTGAAAAGGACTAGACGCCTAGAGGCAGTGGTTAGCTGGGTGAGTGCCAGTAAGCTGAAATTGAATCCTAATCAGGCAGAGGCTTTGTGAGAGGCTTGTTCCTGGATCTGGGAATTAGACACATGCTAATGTTTTAAAGTGTCTCATGCCTCTTTCTTATTCAAAAATGTGATTTTCCCCTTGGAGTTCGAAATAATTTTATTAATTTTACCACCTAACTTCTGTTTCTTTCATATGCCTCCTAAAATGTACTTGTCATGCAACATTAAGATAATGTGGGCAGTATTCCACAAATCTGGAAATATATTTGGAACATCTTGTCTGAGTACCATATGCAACTAGTTCCAGACTATCATGATCTGGAAATGAAGCACAAGTTCACAAATCTGGCTGGAAGCCAGTTGTGCATATTATTTAGATAAGTCTTCTCACATTTGCAGACACAAGGAAAAGCTGCTGGCATACAAACCTGCCAGCCTAAATATGTCTGTTGTACACTTACATGGCTATTTACTTTTCAGGTGACTGGGCAAGAGTCTCATCTCCCCTCAAAGCTCAGTGAAATCTTTGATTTGTTCCTTTACTGTGCAAACAGACCCAGAG